TTTTAAAAAATTTTTGTTAGGCTTAACATCGATGAAAATTCAACGCGAAGTAGGTTAATAGCGATATACTAATATACTAATTACATGAGATATACTAATATACTATACTAATAATGTATTTTTTCATATTTTTCGGTTATCCGTTTTTTCAGTTATCCGACCAACCCCAGTCCCCAATTGAGTCGTATAATCAATGCTCTACTGTATATAAAGGGCAAAAAGGAAAACAGCTTCCTCGTAATTGGTATAGGAGAATGTCGCAGATCAACACGAGATACTTGTATAATTCGTGGATATAGTCTCCCAACTGTTAAACTAGAGGTGGGGAGATCTGCACTGATCTTTCAATTATTCTTCTATTGGAATAGTCTGTGCAATGATTTACAAACCATATCAAGTTATGAAATCTTCAAAAAGAATGTAAAAAAAGGAAAAAACTTTAAGCCACAGTGATATTTGTTCTCAATTAATTTTTAGACTTGAAGTAGAATGTAATTTTCTTTCTCAGCTTGTGTCCTGTTTTTGTTTTACTTATTCTTTTTTTTGTTGGTTTTGTTGGTTTTTGCTCTAAGATGCTTGTAAAAGACCAACCTGGCCACAGTGTCTTTTTGAGAAATAAATAAAAAAATAAACACACAAGCCTAGAAGTTTGACAATGGCGAATAAGACTATCACTTAGAAAAGCTAGAAAAATAATTTTTTCAGGAACTGATGCAAGTTTTCCCTCTATAGTATCATCTACAAAATCTCTGTAATCATTTACATTTATTTTGAATTTCAAAACTTCATTTAATCAATCTAATTTTCTTTCACTTTACATTCACAGTGAAGTTAATTTTTCATAGGGCCAAGAGGATTCATCTAACAAATCTAGTAGTACAACCAGTGAAGAATCAATAAACTTACACTGGAGTTTATTTTTAAATATTTCTTCTTCATTCAAGAAGAAAAGACAATGAAATTATATTTAGGAAAATTTTTCTTAGAGAGATAGAAAAATATTGAATGTGTGTTACTTTGTGTAGTTCTAATTCAGAAAACATTGTATTTTTATTGTTATTAGAACTGTATGATTAAATAGAAGTCATAGCTTTTAATATGTAAAACTGTTTATCCTTCATTATCCATTCATTAAGAATTTTAACAACCAGCTCACTAAATTTTAAAAAAATGGTAACAACAGACTTGCACAAGCCAGTTCCAACACACCACTTGTTACAGTACATTGTCTTAACAGTATGACTTTATTCCAAAGNAAAAATTTGGGAAAAAATTTGGAGACAACATCCAAAAATCCAAAAAAAACAAAAATTTTTCGGAGGGCCCAAATGCCCGAGTTTTATGTAACGCTATGGAACTTGCCCGAGTTATCTCGGGTTTTAAAGATTGCAGCATTACTTCTTGCCGCCTGCAGATGGCTGTGATTGGTCATCCATATTCAGCAAACGAGATCAACAATGCAGTTAAGGAGACAAATTCCCTGACTTTTTGACAATTTTTGACAAATTCCCTGACTTTTTGACAATTTTCGACAAATTCCCTGACTTTCCCTGACCTTTTCCAAACACTAATGAAAATCCCTGACTTTCCCTGATTTTCCCTGACTTTCCAGGTGCGTAGGAACCCTGTAAATGCTATTAAGTTTTTGGGAGTAACTTTTGATGACAATCTGAGCTAGAATAAACATATAGATGATGTTGCACTTTCCCTGGCAAAGTATACTGGGATAAATAAGAAAATTCAAGCTTTTTTAAGTACATCTCTCTTGAAATGGCTGTATCACACTTGCACTGAATCTAAAATAAGATATGGTATCGCTGTATGGGGAACCGCATCTCTATATGCCATTAATAAACTTCAAATGGCACAAAATCATTACACATGTTCAATTTATAATTTAAACTTTATGGAATCAGTATCTGAACTCTACCGCACCAATAATATTGACAAGATTAGTGAAATTTACAAGAAACAGATTCTGTTGGAGTGTTTCAAATACAGTAGAGCATCAAGTATCCGACCCCGATTAACTGTCACATCGGTTAACCGACCATTCTAGTCGGCAAATTCAAATGTCCGCTAGTGATGTGGCACTACAATATTTGGCTATGTCTTGGCTACTTTAATAGTACTTTTACGTGTTTTAGCTGGCAACACTGGCTCGACCATGAAAGGGAGCCAGTACTTAAACGCGGCTTAATTTTCTAACTTTTAACGATACAATAGCGACGATTATTATTTTAAAAAATTTTTGTTAGGCTTAACATCAATGAAAATTCAAAGCGAAGTAGGTTAATAGCGATATACTAATATACTAATTACATGGGATATAATAATATACTACACTAATAATGGATTTTTTCATACTTTTCGGTTATCCGACTTTTCAATTATCCGACCAACCCCAGTCCCCAATTA